ACACAAGCACATAGGTGAGATGAAAATTCTGTTTAAACACAAATAAACTGCTATCAAAAACTGAATTCTGAAACCCTTTGCTAAGAATAGCTGTTTTCAGCTTGTCAAACAATGCTCTTGGAGCTTGCTTGAGTCCATATAGAACTTTATGCAATTTGCATACATAGGTTGACTTAATGGGATCCTCAAAACCAAAAGGTTGTTGCATGTAGACTTCTTCATTCAAGGTTCCATTTAGAAACGCATTGTTGACATCCACTTGTTGAATGTCCCACCCTTTAGTAACAGCTAAGGTGAGTATTTTTCTAATATTGGAGGCTTTAACTAATGGGCTAAAGGTTTCAAAATAATCAAGCCCATGAGTTTGTTGAAAACCCTTGGCAACAAGCCTAGCTTTATATTTTTGTAGAGAACCATCAGAATTAAACTTGGTCCTAAATACCCATTTGTTCCCTACAATATTTTTATCTGAAGGAGCAGGAACTAAAGTCCAGGTTTCATTTTTAAGCAAGGCATCAAACTTACTCTTCATTGCATGCTTCCACTCAGGACTGTTCAGTGTTTCAAGAACAGTGTGGGGTTCAGGTTCACGTATTACTACGCTAGTTTCTGAACTAATACCTTGAGAATGACATGCAGTTTTTGATAAATTTACAGAATGATCAGACTTAGAACCAGTAGATGGAATTTGTGACAAGGCAACATAGAAATCAGTGGATGTAGTGGTTATCAAGGCTGCAGAATTTTCAGAACTAGAACCTGAAGCTGCAGTAGTTGGTAAGGTTTCATAGTAGCCAGAAGCTGCTGTTTTGGATCGAGTTAACATGGGATGTGTGTTTGTAGCTATAGCCTTGTTAGTGTGCAATTTTGCAGGAGCCTTGGATGTAATGAGATCAACCTCAAGTGAGCATATGGGAAAAGAAAAAGATGATGGTATAGTAGGAAGAGTAGAAACTGATGTATATGGAGAGGGAGCAGATTTGTTAAAAATGTGGTTTGGTTCAGCATTGAAGAGATCTGTTTGAGGTGTTTGGGAGGATGATAAGCTATTCATGGGAAGAACAATTTGTGAAGGAGCAAACCAATGTGGAATTGCAGAATTAATGTTCACTGTTTTGCCATTTTTGGACTTATTGATAGAACTAGTTACTGCAAAAGGATCCTTCAGTGTGCATTTTGTACCCAAACTGTTGGGAGCGGTAGTGTATGGAAAAGAGATATAGGCAGGATATATGTCAAGGGGAGTTGTGGAAGCATCGGTTTTTTGTTGGGAGTTTGAGGTAAAATTTAACCTAAATGGAAACTCTTGTTCATTAAAATTGACAATAGGAGTGATAACAATTTTTCATCCGGTTTTAGACATTTGTAACCTTTATGGACAATACTATATCCTACAAAGACACACTTAGTTGAGTAAAAACTGAACTTATGACGATTAAAGACTCTAAGAAAAGGAAAACAAGAACACCCAAAAACTTTCAGATTTTCATATATAGGAGCTTTATTAAACAATTTTTTATATGGAGATATATTATCTAAAACTAGAGTAAGCAGTCTATTAATCAAGAAAACAGCAGTTTCAAAAGACAACCACCAAAATTGAAGAGGCATAGATGCATGTGCGAGTAATGTAAGCCCTGTTTCAACTATATGTTGATGTTTTCTCTCACAAAATCCATTTTGCTAGTGGACATGAGAGCATGAATGCCTAAACTGAATTCCTAACTCTATAAGATAAGAATGAAGTGCAATGAATTCTCTACCTTGATCAGAATGAAGACATTTTAACTTAGTATTAAACTGTCTTTCAGCCAAATGATGAAACTTAATGAAAATGGACTTAACCTCAGCTTTAGTTCTAAGTGGAAATAACCAAGTATATCTACTATAATCATCCAAAAACTGGATATAATACCTAAATCCTTCAGACAATGTTAAGGGTGCAAGACCCCAAACATCACTGTGGACAATTTCCAAGGGAGCTAAAGGTTTAGTATGCGAGGTAGGAAAACTAACATTATGCATTTTTCTCAGTTGACATGCATCATAAAAAGAAGTAAAATTGCTATCATAATCAGATTTGACTTTTGCAAATTTATAGTATTTGGGCAGTGAAGACAGAATTCTATGCATAACACTAAAGTGAGGATGTCCTAACCTTCTATGCCATGTTAAGTGATGCTGAATATTTGTGTTGTTAGTAGAGTGAGATGCAGAATCATGCATAATAGTTTCAGCAATATTGATTGACTTAGAAGTAGATATATCAGTAATCACATTAGTCACATCAGAAGTATCAGTCTAAATTATAGGCAAAACGGGGAATTTTTGAACACAAGCACTTTCAGAACAGTCACTTTTATTTATAAGTAACACAGTACATTGTGCAGGAAACATGTTATGAGAATGATCATACAATATGTAAGTAGAATCACAAGATGTAAGAGTAACATTTGGACTAGAATTAACAATTTTCTGAGTACTAAAACTATCCTGACTACCTGACTATGAACCATTATTAACAGTGTTTTTACAGTGAAAACTATAACTATTTGAGTCAGGATGTGGAAAGGCAGATGATGAAGTAAAAATAGGTTTTGAATGGGAGATGGACTGGGGAATATGCAGCTGATACAAGCCACCTTTAAGATCCCCTTGCAGTAACATTGCTCTGGTTAACTAATCCTTGACAACACAACAATCAGCATTAAACTCAACAATTACATTATTGTCCTTAGTGAACCTAGAAATACTAAGCAGGTTTTTGGTTATTTTAGGAACACATAAGATATTTTTAAGGTATAGGCATTTAGAATGAAACAAACTAGGCAAAGATGTGTTACCAGTATGAGTGATATTCAGGTGCTCACCATTTCCCACTTGAAGTTGACTCACACCACCATATTCCTTGCTAAGTTGCAGCTAACTGAGATCTGAAGCTACATGATCAGTGGCTCCAGAATCCATGTACCAGGTGGGATCAGTAGGAGTGAATTGAGTGGCATAAACAGGCTGGGAATTATGACTGGCACCAGTGGAAACAGCAGTCATAAATGCTTGATTGTGACCTGGACTAGCAGACTGTTGGCTAGATGGTCCAAAAACAGGAACTGGAAGGGAATTGTGTGATGTATGGACTTGTTCTTATGAGTGACCACCGTAATCAGAATTAAAACTAGTCTGGCCAAGATAAGGGCTAAACTGTGGTTGATCAGTGGAAGACAATTGTTTTGAAGTAAAGGCTGGAGTGGGTGAGTACTGGACAGTGTTTGGATTGTTATTTGTGTTGTGTGGTTGATAGGAGAGGGAATTAGGAAACTGTGGATGTCCAGAAAGGTGATTCTAGTGCAGATTACCATTATAAGCAAAGTTGAATCTGTGGTAGCATTGAGCAGCTGAGTGACCTACTTTGTTATAGACTTGGCAGATCAGTCTATTTCTGTTATAACCACGACCTCTGCCTCTTCCATACTGACCAAAACCAGGCCCTTTAGGAGTAAAAGTGGGAGTGTGGTTGTAGGGAAAATGGTGAGTAGTTAAACCAGTAGGGAAGTGGTTTGATGGCAGTGGATATATTTGTTGGACATGGGGATTTCCTAATGAGTTTAGAGATGGAATAGAATTAGAGTTCCCAGCAACAACTCCATAATTTTTGTCACTATTCAGTCCAGAATGTCCAAAACTTCCACTTCCAATGTTATTTGCAGAATTTCCAACATTTGCACTTCCAATATTATTTATAGTTGCAATATGAGCTGAACTATTATATAGATCGACTGAATTGAACTTGTCTAACCTAACTTCATATTTTTGAAGCAAAAATTGTGCTTCTTGAAGTGTTATTGAATCTATTTCGATTCAAGCCTAGATGTAAGATTTACCACCACAGGATCATATTCAGGACCTAATCCATCCAGAACATACTGTAACAAGTCATCATCAGATATAATCATACCGCTAGCTGATAAACTTTCACTAATTTCTTTCATCTTTTTGACATATTCAAAAATGCTCAAATTGTTCTTTTGAGTTGTCTGTAATAGATTCTTAAGATGTAATGCCCTAGCCTTTGAATCTGTAACAAATTCATGCTCTAAGACTCTCCAAATATCAGTTGAAAACCTACACATAGACACTGTACCAAACATACTTTCCGATATTGAAGCTAGCAGCCAACTAACCAGAAACTTATCGGTTCTCTTCCACATAATGTAACTCAGATTAATTTTGTCCTTAACAGAATCATTCTTAACCCTAAGTTCTCCACTCCATTGACTCAACTCATTATCAACATTCATATCAGACAAAATTAAGGGTGAAGGACATGGAATTTTACCGAGCAAGTGGTCCTCGAGCTCATGTGATCCTACAGCAAAAAGAACTTGCGAGCTCCAAAATCTGTAATTATCTCGAGTAAGTTTTGGATTAATCACTGGTAGACTTGAAGCAACCACAGATGACGATCGATTTAACACTTCCTTCAACATTTTCTCAAGGCTATTAGGTACAGGATTTGAGCTTAAATCAGGATTTTTAGCCATCGACGTTAGTCACGGCTCTGATACCATGAGAAGGTTGAGTGAGATTCGAAGAAAAATTAAGAAAAGATGGAGAAGGAACTTATTAATTGAATCTGTGTTTCTGAGTTTTTTTCTACAACAGCACCTTAGCTCACTTTACTCTTTTATATGTAAAAGAGTAAAGTGAGACAGTGAGCTGAGCTTAAACTAAAACGGTTGTAGTCAAAACTACACCGTTCCTGTATACCTTCACACAAGCCCTCACAAGTTTGATAGTTAACAACTAACACCCAATTTACATTACATTCTAACAATTTTGACACAAAGAGTTTTAATTTTAATTATGAAATTATGAATTTTAAATAACTTTTTTTATTACTATTTTTTAGTATCTACAAATATAAAATTTCGGATGAACAATTGTGTAATGTGCCCCAATGCCAGCTCATGCGTTGCATCGACCCGTCAGCTTGATTAATTTCAGGACGAAACTTGAAGAAGCAGTGTTGAGGAATTTGTTGATGGCACATTCAAGCGGTGAACCAAGGAAGAATTTTTGACAGCTGGGTGAATTATCTTCACTTCGTAATCTCCATGGAAAACGGAGGCCTCAAAGAATCCATTAGCATCGGTCGTACCGTCAAGCTTTCTAATGCCCCATTCATGCAACAGTTTGTCCACAACATCTCCAGTCGGCAAATTATTAAAATTATTATCGGTTAAACACATCCGGTAGCATCCTTGAGGCGACCATGCCCCCCAAATGATCATTCCGCCAATATTAGGGTGACTATGTCCCTCCCTTAACACCTGCTCTAAGTACAGCGTCTGCCCATACATAAGTCATCAAGAAGAATAAAAACATGTTAGTATAATGTCTGAGCAAAGGTTAAGAGAAATCGAACTAAAATTGATTTCACCACCGAAACTAAGGCCTTTGTCGACACAAACTGACGCCGGAAAAGACGTATTCTGAGTCAGAATACGCCATCCCCAACGCGCAATATTAATATAATGCACAATGCAATCGTGAAGTATTAACTAATTGAGTTTTTACCTGGTTGGGACCATTTTCAACGTCCACTTCCGTGAGCCAAATGGGCACGCCGGCTGCTGCAAGCATATCAATAGAAGCTCTCATGTAAGGGAGATTCGGCACACGAAAATGAGACTCGAGCCCGATAGCCACCTGTGCACCGTTACCAAGATAACTTTGGATCTTTCTTAACCTTTTAAGGTAGTTAGCAGGAGATGATTTCTGATCACTTATTTCCTCTATCGTGTTAAACTCATTCATAAACATCAAAGTTGACGGATCATATTGGTTAGCATACTTGTAAAAAGTTTCGGATGCGTTTGCCCCCATCTTGTTTTCAAAGAAAGAAAAATGCAAGTTTTCATTAACAACATCCCAAGCAATAAGCTGTCCTTTATATCTTGAAACTACGGATTTCGCCCTGTTTTCAGCGGCCAAAGCAAGTGCGGATGGTGAGAGCGAATTGATCCAACCGGGTTGGTATTTCGGATCATCCCAAAAGACGTTTTGGCCACGAACTGCTATGTGGTTTTGTTTCATGAATTGAAGCATGGCATCGGCTAGTGAATAGTCCTCCTTTCCCTGGGATGGTTCAGTGCTGTACCACTTCATTTCATTTTCAAATGTTGTAATGCCGAATCTTGAAGTGAACCATTGTTGATACTTGACATTGTTGAGGATGTTCTTGTTTGTAGCACAACCGATTGGCACTGTTGATGAGACCTTTTGCTCAATGGAAAGTTTTGCATTAGTAAGGGGTTTGCCGTGCGAATCAACTGCTTGAATTCTTACTCTTCTCTTATGTTTCTGCCAAAGGTAAAACTATATCATGATGAAATGACATCATAAGTTTTCAAGTTTAAAGGAAAAGAAATGAAACCTATTAAGATAAGTCACCTTCTCAATGCTTTCATTTTGATGGGAATTCCACTCTTTTTGGGTGAATGGTTGTAGTGAGACGCTATCGACCCGTATTTCAACTGACGTTTTATTGCTCTGAAGAATATTTTACAAAAATTAAGAGTAATTGAACAAATTTTAATTGTTCAAATTAATATACCTGAAGTGCTAACTACACCTCAAAATAGAGCTGAGCCGGGCCTGACGCATCTACAGTGAAGCCACCCTTAAGCATGGACCAACACTTGGACTTGGCAACAACAGAACCACCATGTTTGTAACCGGTAGTTGTTTTGACAACTACGCTTATGGAAGCTTCTCCTTCACTCACTTGGAACCAAGCTGCATACGCATAACCAGGAGTTAAAATAATTAACAATTCACAACAACAAAATCTAAGCCCTAATCATGCAAAAGAAATAAAAGGCATGTAATACCTGAAAAGGTGTACAGCTTGTCCTTTTGCAGGTCAATCGTTTGTGAGACACTATCATATGGTTGATTTCTGTTACGAGCCACAATAAATTTGTTGCTACCTAATTGTTTATGCTCAGTTTTTGCACTTCCGAATGCGGACCATCCTTTCGTTCCAAGATTAAAATCGGGGTTTGTGATGATCCCTCCACCATACTGAGGTTTATGGGGATTTTCCAGACACTGTAATTGGGTGGAAAAAGAAGAGAAAATATACCAATAAATAAAATAAATAAGAGTTAAGTTATAACGAATAGGATTGCTTATGTTAAGAGGAGGCAAGTAACGCTGTCAACCGTTTAAGAATTGACAGTTTGTACTTAATTATTTTCAAAAGATAAGGCATCCTTTTTTTTTTTTTTTTTTTTTTACAAGAAAATGTTTTAAAATAATCCAAGACCCTAGACCTTAGAATTATAACCAAGTAAGAATTCTCTTTATTAGCAACCAAAGAGGGATTCAGACTCAGTACTGACTAAATAAGAGCTTGATGATACATCTAAAAGTTTTTATCGAACCATTTAACCACCTAAAGATTGGTTATCAGGCATCTTTACCAATGCTGTTAAAATAATAAGTAACAAATGTAATTTTACTATATAAATATTTCATATCAATTTTTTTTACAATAAAATGTTTTTTTTTTTTTAAATAGAGAGATAGCATTTATAATTTTAAATCAAGTTAATTTATATCCTAAGTTTTTCATTTCAAGTGATATTTTAAAGAAAATTATTAGCATATGTAATACAAATTGTATTTAAAAAAAAAAAAAAAGTATTTCTTTTAAATAATTAAAAACTACGCTTTTTATTTATGTATTTACATAATGAAAACATACATTCAACTAATTTTAATTGAATAGAAAACAGTATCAAAACCAATATATTTATCGAAAGGTTATAATTATAACAGTATCATTCTATAAATATATATTAATCTGTATATTTAATAAAATGAATGTAAAAAATATTTCTTTTATGTAGAAATATTCTCACACTTAAATTAAAAAATAAAAACTGAACAGATAAATTATAGGATAAACTTACCTCAATGCTGGCGGTGTAATCATAGAAAGCATTAGCTTTGGATTCTGCAACCAGTATAAGAATGAATGAAATTTCACGACGACAAAATGCAATTATATATATATATATCCGACTTTTTGCTGGAAGAAACAAACCTGCAAGAAGAAGTAAACATATTTGCAGCAACAAGACAATAATGTTGTTTTGCCCTCCGAAACTCATTTTCTTAAAGTTCCTGAAAGTCGTCACCGCAAAAATGAACACAGGCAAGAACAGGGAGACGAATCAAAGAAACATTTGAGCTTTTTACTTTACCGTGGAGGGAGGAGAAGCTCTGACAAATATTTGACATTCAATTTGCAAAAGATTGGAATTAAATACAGATAATGAGATCAATGGTATCCCTATATTTAGCTGTAATTTGTTATTTGAAATTATTTCAGGTGTACTATAATTGGTGGTTTTGTCAAAGTTTACCAAATTTAAACAATTTAAATTTATAGCATAAAATTATTTGTTTTAAGTTTAAAAATAAAACAATCAACTTGATGAATAATAATTAATAATATGGCAATAAAATTATCTGTTTCCAAAACAGTTCTGCTGTTTATGTTTTCATTCCTAATATGATTTTGTATGTGTCCCTTAACTATTATAGATTAATTTTGTACAATTTTTTTTTTTTTTATCTCCCCTGAAACCATTTTTATAGCATAAAATCATATTGAAGATATTCAGAAATATTTTTCTATTAAAGTATGACAATCGATTTGGAAATTTTACCAATATTACCTTTCCCCTTGTGGCTGAATGACAAGCCCTTGAATATTACCAATATTATTTTTATTGTTTAAAGAGGCAGTTACCATATAGCTCATGAAATTAGAATAGTTATATTTGAAATATAATTATGTTGGACAGGGGAATAGGGATTATTGGAATATAAACTAAAGGGTTTATATAAGATGTAGATGTTATTTTTTTTATTTTTATCTTTTTTGGGTAACCGGGGTGTCCGGGTCAACTTTAGCACACTTCAACTAATCCTCGCGGTCCATTGAATATCCTACAAACCCAATAAACCGAATAAAACACCATTTTGCATTGAGGTATGTGGCTCCAAGGTCAATCCAGGAAGTCAAGGAAGGGAGCACACTTCATTGACCACCAGGCCGACCCCTTAGGGTTTATATAGATGTATTTTTATATTATCCTATTTAATAATTTATACAAAGGATAAAACTATAATTATAAAAATTTTAATAGAAGGGTTTAAATAAGACAATATATAGGATGCTATGGTACCATAAGTGTGGCTGTGTGTGTTTGAGTTTCGTAATTTGGTTATTTGGAATTGTTTAAACATGTAAAGGATAAGATAATATGATATTTATAAGGACATGACATGTGTTAAAATATTAGTCTTCATATATTTATCAGTGTTTTAAATTTAATACCCCACCAATAGTCCACGGGTTAAAATAGTCTTTTCCTTTTTATATGCTAAGTTAACTACCATGCACATGCCTTAGGGATAAAGTGGTAAAAGAATGATGCTGTTTTGTTGGCTTGACAAGATAAAGATGATGAAGGATTAAATAGTAATTAGAAGGGCAAAAAGGGAAATAATGTTATAAGACATTAAATGCTAAAGACAAATGACAAATAAATAATTCTTTTGCATGGTATGAGTCAGCCAACACGTCTTCTACCATTTTCCTTTATTTTCTTCAAGCTTTCTACAATCTTCCATAATTTTCTTCACTACTCCATTAAAATTTCAAGTCTCTTAGTTGCAATCTCTCAAGTGTCTTATATTTCTTTTTTTATTAAGGATATTAGAAGGTAAAGTTCAACTCCTTATCTTCTATAAATATTAAGTATTTCAAGTTTTTTAAGTTTCCTTATAATTTATGTTAGGAAAAGGGTCATTTGGAGATAAGGAGGAGGAAATTTGCAATGGAGTGTGGTTTCTTCAGATAAGGTAAGGGAAACCTCCCTTTAATAGGAAATAAGAATTAGGTTTCTATGTTTAGTATTAGGGAACCTTAATTCTTGTCACATAATAGCAATTGAGCTTGGTTTGATGCTATAATTGATGGATTTATATGTGAATTGTAAAAACACTAAAGTTTGATGACAATCAATGGAATTAGTTGTGACATGAGTTTTTAACATATTACAAGGGAGGTTATTATTGATCATTTAACATGTTTTCACAGGGGAGAATGGTTAGGAAAGGTTAGGGAGTAAGTGGAAGTAAATAGGTATGGAAAAGCCTTAAAATATGCATGTTACCATGGTTGCCCTGTCAAATCTGTGGCCTTCTGAGTGATTTTTGGGCATCTTATCTATCGAACTGGGTTGAGACCTAAACATAAAAGTTGTAGCCCTTTCTCTAATCTTTAAAAGAGACCAAGATCATGTCAATCCGATGTGTATAACTCGAGATATGCCTTCTGGAATCTGATCTATGCAGAATGACTACCTCAAAAGTGTTTCCAATTTCTTAATTTATTTTTAGCCTAATAATCTATGATTGATTCCAAGTATGGAAATGATGCTTAAAGGGTTTTGAAGCATGTTTGAATGAGGGATCTTTATGATTATTTAATGATTGTATGAGCATATATAGTTGATGTAATGAATGACCATGGAGGTTATGTGTAATATGTTATGTATTACCTAATTATGAGCTTGTGTATGTATAAACAAGCCTAAGTATGATATGTTTCTATGAATTTGTTTTACATCCACAAAATGGTCATGATGAAATGATATGTTCAGATATGGAAAATGTATGTTTTTTTAAAGAATGAAGCATGTCAAGCATATTAATGATGAAAAAAAAGGGGACTTGATCCCAAGTTTGAGCAAAATGCTTCCAAGGTACATAGACATGCATTTTTGTGAAGGAAATGATTTGTAAATTTTACGGAAGTTGTTGGCATGTTATGGGGAACCTGAGCTCACTCATGCATAGGTCTAGACCAAAAGAAATGAACAGTCCATATTGCGCATGACCATGGGGACTATGTTATAAGTTAAGGTTAGCTCACTGGCCAAAGGTTCCGTAATCCATGCCTCAGCTTAGTCGATTGGTAGACAGTAAAAATGTTTTCAAAGAAAAATGTATTTATACATGCATGGCATTGATGTCCATTATTCATGAACATTAAAGGAAAGCATTACATGAATTATATTATGCATTATGATATGGATTGAATATGCTATGTTATGTTACTTTTATGTTATTAATGTTTGGTTCATGTACAAGTAAATAAGATGCTTTCTAAGTTTAAGAATGCTACATAGGGTTAAATGATCGATACCCTTACTGAGTGATTAGCCCTCATTTCCCTAGTTTCCATGTTTTGTAGGTAATGGTTAAAGCAGAAATGGCGAGCGGCAGTCAAGGAGGCTTGGGGGCATGCATGTTAATTTTTGTTATAATTAAACTTATGATGTTATATAAAGGATGTTGCTTTTGAATTTAATGTATATAGTTTAATGTTTATAATCTAAGTTTTATGAAATAATAAATATGTTTTGCTTATAAATGATGGGAGATATTTTATATTTGCTTCCGCTACTAAACAATTGATGTTGTTGTTTTCTTTAAACCATATTTTTCATATATAGTCATATCTTGATAGGTTGATTAAGAAAGTAATGTAAATGAGAGGAGAAGTTTTATTTACTTATTTTCATATAGTACATGTTTGTAACCAGGATTTATGTTTTAAACTACACAACCTTCCAGGCGTGAATTCTCTAATTTTCCATCCTAATGGAATACTTAGAGGGTACCCGACTGGAGGGGGGTGTTACAGAAATGATGGCGACAGAGTTGATTTTCGGTGAGTGAATAAATCAAAAATTGAAAAAAAATTGGCAGTGGCAACAACCGACTTTTGCTGGCGATTGGCGAGGCTAACAAGGGTGGGGTGAGGTAGGTTTTGGTCAGGAGGAAGAGGGGAGTATCTTCGGGGTGATGGGGAGGGTTGTTGACATCGACGTCAGTGAGATTTGGCTTGGAATACTGATGTCGTCGTTAGTGGGATTCGATTTCGGCTAGCTATTGGGTAGATTTTCTAGGGAATGGGCTTAGGGGACGATAAGGATTGCATTTGGGGTGTCGCCACCGCTAACCAGTTGCTGGACGATATTTATTTGGTGTGTGTTTACTAAATTTCAAACCTATAGGGACTTAACTTGATTTTTAGGGGTGTATTTGCTAAATTTTAAAAGTTTTGTCACTCGGTTTGACTAGCTGGTCAAACCTGTTAAACCGATCAACCCAGGACCTGGCAATTGTGTTGAGTTTCACCCCGAGTTGGGTTTTAAAACATTGCAAATATGGTCAGTGGTCACTGTAGGGACTTGAACAAAATACCTCTCGATAACCTACCCAGATAGCTAAAGTCTTGTGATCTAGCCACAAACATAGTGGTTAACTTCAACATGTCTGTCAACTTAATTTCGAAAATTCTAGGGCTTAAGTTGCTAAATTAATTACTTGAGATCCATGAGTTCTTAAGAATTCATGGCACGTAATTATGATGTATTGATGTGTTTTAGTGGTTGACATTTACTTTGTTTTATTTATTTACTTTCAATTGCATTCTTGGATTTTCTTTTCTATGTAAAACTAATATCAAGGAAAATCTAGTCTAGAAAGAAATGGTGGTTCTTTGAATGTAATTTCTTGCACAGTAAAGATTAGCTCACAACTCAATTTTACAAACTTTCTCTCACAACCCCGACATAATAGCTCGCAATTGTTCAATTCATAATTGGGCAAGCAAGACCCATTGCGAGTTGATGTTAGTAAATCAATGAGCAGAGGCAGCGAAAAAACAAAAATTATTGCCCATCGATTACTCTGATTTAGCCAAGATCAGGGTCTATATATATTACATGCTTAAAAATTGAAATAACAAAGATCCATGCAATGATTAGATTATACCAGTGTTTTGAGGCTTCGTCAGTATCTCTGAACGTGATTTCGCTATCGATTCGAGAGTGGAATCGAACTCACGTTGTCCACACGAAGACAATACGTTAGAGACCAAGAATTAACTTTGCTAGAGTTAATTCTTAGCTTTAAGGAGTATGGTATTTGGAAGGATAAAGTGAAGAGAAGAAGAGAGAAACCTAAATTTGTTTTCTTTAAATAATGAAGCAAATTTCCATTCCACCCCCAATGTTTAGGAACAACTCAAACTTAGGTGGAATCACATATAGGTCCCTATTAATTATTTAGTTAACTATTAATATAAATATAAATATTAACTTCAATAATTAAATTTATAATTTTGCTAAATTATTCCAATAATAAAATTGGACACAACTACAACCTTAGTAAATTTAATTACATAACAAAATTACACATATGCCCATTCGTCCAAAAGACGAATATGCCCTTCCAAAATTTACCATCCTTAAACTGTCTCCTAAGTGTGTGACTCGTAGGCTCCTCATTATATCAACAATGAATAGGATTGCGATTGACACCAATCAATCGTCGTACTACACACATACCAAGATTGACCCCTAGCAAGACATCATGTCCACCCGATAGATTCGGATTCAGTGAAACAACTACCTATCAGCAATATAATTACTGTGCAATTAAATCATTTCATCATCTGTTATCTCATCGAGGCTGAGGTACAAAAATAGTGTCAACCTCAGTTATTCTCGATGTGTTTGTATTCAGTTACTAGATCAATGACTGGAACAATAAATTGGATTGGGTAATAACTCAATCCCACTGTGGCCACAACTTTAGTGTCATTGCAATACACTGAATTACGCCATGAGATAACTTCTCTCGTACTCGGGAGTGATGAATCCTCAGTCTTGATACACTCCTCGATGCAGCCAATCACTATCGTATTGATAACTTTAAATAGAACTATGTTAGGTTAGTGTCAAACTACGCCAATCGGTGCACAAGGTACTCCGGTGATCTTAAGGCTAAGGATCATATGCATTACCATTCGTTAGAGGATTTATTCCATAGACACTAGGGTTACCATCTATATGGAATCCTCTGGTGAATCAATCTAGTGAACTTGCCTGCAGCAAGCACCCATGTTTTGCACCAGGTTGTCGACAAACAATCTTGACAAGTGACATCAATCACTGCCACTCGACAAGGTTGTTCAACACTATAATAGCCTTACCATATTATCTGTGTCCTTGGTCGGAATAATACTCGGGCTATAAACATTTCTAGAATGACCACCATATATGATTATAGGGTTCTCACTATCAAGATTTGAAACACTTGATACCCTCGTCATGGTTCTACCATCCTAAGGATATTTATCAATACATATCAATATGATTTACACGATATAGAATAAAATGCCTTTTATTGACTAATAAACATTATTAAAAAGAGTCAATTCTACAATAATTGATTAGCTCTAAGACATCTATTCTAACAGCTGCCACATCAAGGTTATGAGAGAAAGTTTGTGAGATTGAGTTGTAAGTGTAGCATTACCCGTTGGGCTCCCTTCTCCATTGAGTTAGCAGGAGTAAGTTGTATCCAAACCAATATTACAAGTATTCACATGATATCTTATGATTGATTGGTCCTTTAATACGGGATTATGTCTATGGCTCGAAGACAAAAATGGTATTTGTTAAATCAAATTACAATAATTGTTTAATCAAAATTAGCTAAAATTAGTTAAATCTCTCAAGCTGAATGATTGTTCAATCAAATATGTAGACAAGCTTTGCTTAGAAGAATAAAAGATCTCAAGATACATATAAACATCATATCAATATGACTTTGTTTCATAATACTATACGTTTATTATGAAATTAGTCGATCAAAATAATTATTAGGTATATTAATGTGCTATTTCTTTTCGAATAATATTTCTTATTTCAGGTGACGATAACTCACTTATGTGACATTGATATATAACTTTTTGTATTAATACTAAATAAAAAGATGTATCAATTAAGATAATTATTTTGGTATATCACTTGCCACGTGTAATGGTCAAAATTATTAGTTGGGCAATGCTACACTTACAATCCAATTTTACAAACTTTCTCTCACAACTCTGATGTAACATTTTGGAATGGGTCATGTCTGCTCAATTGCGAGCTCGCAATTTACAAATTTTTTCTCATAACTCCGACGTAATAACTCGCAATGGGTCTTGTCTGTCCAATTTTGACCTATCATATCAAAATTATGAGAGAAGATTTGTAAGATTGGTCTGTGAGTCAATCTTTATTATTATTATTTTGGGATAATTATTTTATCTCATGCATATCATGACTAGCAAGAAATTTGCTCTGCTGTTTTGTTGAGGTGTTGTGGGCCTTGTGGCTATGAAGAATGGGCTTATGGGCTTTAAGCCACCCTATAAGACCCAATGAGGAGGCCCATGGGCTTTAAGAATAATATACTACCTCTTTTGAATCGAAACGTTTTTTACTTTTTTTTTTTCTTTTTTAAACTTTATTTAATGCCCATGTGTTACTTAGGTCCACATCTCAAAAAAGCTCACATAGCCGTTGATATTTGAAATTCTTCATAATTACAAATTTCTCCTTTATCATTTTATCTTTTGACTAAAAACCCCTTCCAAATTCAAATCTCAATACCGCGGTCACACTTTCACAGTCCTTAATTTCAAATCTTCATCAAATCTCAGCCGTCCATTTCCCCAAACATTTCATCTCAAATTCAAACAAAACCCTGAGCAAACCACACTGCACCTCAACTCATAGCTCGAAATATGTTCTTCATTATTTAAAATTTCTTTCTTCTTTTTAGCTGAATTTTAGGTTTGTTTTAATACTACTCAAGCATTGCAGGAACTCGAATCGGCGTTTTGTTCTTCACTGGTTCTTTCAGGTATCATTAAACAATGATTGATTTTTAAAATTTTCAATTTAAATTCACATTACAAGTTTGATTTTGAGTTCTTGAATTCATTACTAGTTCATATTTTTTGTTCCAGAATGTTGAGAGACTTTAAATTCATGCGTCGAAATTCATCTTCTAAGAATGACGAAATCGAGAACGTTCCGGTGAACCCTGGAGACTCTTTCAGTTCTCAATCGACTAGCAGTACGGACTTGTTCAGGCCTCCACTGAATACACTAAACCCTAAACTTGAACACGAACCTACGAGTACGACTACTCGAACTAGGATTGATAAGACGCCGACCAAGCCGATTAAGCCCCGAAATGCTGATCAAGGGCTGCCTCTTCGCACTCCAGATAAGCATGGCATGGGGTTTTCTTCGAAGCATCGATTTGGGTGGGCCAACAAAAATGATAATTCGACTGGACCGAGTGAATTGCGTGATGATTCGAAGAGTATGACTCCAAGAGTGAGTAGGGGGGTGGGGAAGGCGAGTTCGGCTTATAGTGAGAGTAATTCCACGCAGAGTACGCCTACGAAGAGTGTGAGTAAGCCTCCAAGTTCGGCGTATAGGAGTAAGGCTGTTGGGAATTTTGGTGCATTGTATAAGGGGATTCCGGTTACTGGTGGGCTACCGCCCACTGTTGTTAATACTGCTGAAGTTTCTCATTTTGATCTCAAGGAAGATCCATCTTTCTGGATGGATCATAATGTACAGGTATATTGTTTATTGGATATGATGAATGATGTTTTGATTGAGAGAATTATATGTTTTGCTGAATAGATGACATATGAATTGAATGGATGATGTGATGTGTAAAGATTTTTAGAGTTTATAGTTGATGTTTTTTTGACAATGGAGGGAAAAAACAATAGTATATTTAATTAGTTGGTTGCTAGTTATAGATTTGCTGATGAGGTTAAATTTGCATAGGTTCTTATACGTGTACGCCCTCTCAATGCTATGGAAAAGAGTACACATGGTTACAGTAGATGCTTGAAGCAAGAAAGTGCTCAGAGCATCACTTGGATTGGGCAACCAGAGAATCGATTTACTTTTGATCATGTAGCATGTGAAACGGTGGACCAGGTGTGACTAGAGACAAGAAAACAGTTATATTACAATTGTATTGTTTTCAAGTTTGGAAGATTATCTGAGAATTGGATTTTGCAGGACATGCTTTTCAGGATGGCCGGTCTGCCAATGGTGGAGAATTGCTTGTCTGGTTACAACAGCTGTATGTTTGCCTATGGACAGGTATTTCCCTAAATTTCCTCATGATAGTAGTATAATGTAGTTTCTTCTTTTACTCCTTTGTTTTAGTAATGCAAATTACGTGCTCTAAGTTAGGAGAATTCCCTAAATTCTGGCATGATCTTAACATCATGTTGGCATGTAAGGGGAGACTCTCATCGAGTTACCTTTGTTGCATTTATCAACTTGATTTGATTTATATAAAAATGTCTTCAGCCTTCTTCGTCATGGGTTGGCTGTGTTTAAAATCGATGTTGTTTGAGTGTAAAGAAGAAGCTTCTTTTCCTCATAATACTAACAATGATGCAGTTCATGTTGTACACAGTAACACAAACAACAGTTGAGCTATACTTTGTTTCCATACTCTAGACCTAATAAATTATCAACATAATTTGACATGGTGATTTTTGTCATGCAGACAGGAAGTGGAAAGACATATACAATGCTTGGAGAGATTGAAGAATTAGAAGTTAGGCCAAGTCCACATCGAGGAATGACACCACGGATATTTGAGTTCTTGTTTGCGAGGATCCAAGCTGTAAATTTGGCATTCTTTGCTGATCTTTCTATACCTTTTGGTTTGTCATAGAAATACAAAAGTCAGTATCTGTTCCTCTTATGTCTTTCTTTTTGCAGGAAGAAGAAAGCCGAAGAGATGAGAAATTAAAATATAATTGCAAGTGTTCTTTCTTAGAAATATACAACGAGCAGATTACAGACCTCCTTGATCCCTCATCTACCAATTTGATGGTGAGACAGGTTCTTTTCTATGTTGATATCTTGGTTTGGACCGTTTTGAGTTGTTATTGTTGTATTTTATTGTCTGATTGTAGCTGCGTGAGGATGTCAAGCAAGGAGTCTATGTGGAAAATCTCTCTGAATTTGAAGTTCAAACAGTGGGTGATATATTAAAGCTCCTAACTCAGGTTAGCAATATTTGATTGTTTTCTTGTCCAGTTGGAAGCACTGTATGTGAGGGAAGTATGTCTGTCTTTACATTAAACTGTTGTTTGTTGTGAATAGGGTTCTTTAAATAGAAAAGTTGCAGCCACAAATATGAATCGAGAGAGCAGTCGTTCACATAGTGTCTTTACTTGTGTAATTGAGAGTAAATGGGAAACGGATTCCACAACTAACCTAAGGTTTGCAAGGCTAAACCTAGTTGATCTCGCTGGTTCTGAGAGGTAAGGTGTTTCACTTGAGATTGTTGAACCACTCATGCATCAACTTGTATTTTTGTCATGCTAATATGTCCTTATTCTCTTCTATTATAGGCAGAAAACTTCAGGGGCTGAGGGTGAGCGTTTGAAAGAAGCTGCTAATATTAACAAATCATTGTCTACGCTAGGGTAATATGATACAGATATTATTCGTTAACACCTCTTATTTATGAATGATATCATTATGTATGCTCTCTTTATCTGGCTGTTCTCAATGTTATCGGTGTACAAATTATTATTTGCAGTCATGTAATTATGATTCTAGTGGATGTGGCGCATGGGAAGCCAAAGCATATTCCGTATAGAGATTCAAGGCTGACATTTCTTCTCCAGGTATAATCCAAGTCCATATCATCTTCCTCAATTATTTATAAATTTATTGGTCCCTGATTGTGACGTTTGTTGCACAATACAATGTAGGATTCTCTTGGTGGAAACTCAAAAACGATGATCATTGCTAATGTCAGCCCTTCTATCTGGTTGGTTCATACTTCATATCATAATATGTCTACATACCACAATTCTCATTTCAATTACTAAACATATTCATTAAATCACTCCTAACCTTTTTATTTGTACTTTCATTTCATCATATTTTGCAGCTGTGCAGCGGAAACACTGAACACTCTAAAGTTTGCTCAGCGAGCAAAGCTTATTCAGAACAATGTAAGATTATTTCTATGTTTAGTGCCATGTCTAAACTTAATGATGTTAATCAGCTTTTGATTATTCATGGCACAGGCTGTGGTGAATGAAGATTCAACTGGAGATATCATTGCACTACAACACCAGATCAGGCTTCTGAAGGTTTTCTATTGATCTTATAAGCGATTTATTATGATTTCTTGTGTGCCTAAATAATTTATGATGTAAAATGGGTGACTTTGGGAACAGGAGGAGCTTGCTATTCTCAAACGTCAGAACGTTTCCAGGTCCTTGTCATTTGGTTCAATAACTGTAGATACAGTGCATGGACGAGAAGATGCTTGCATGGATAACACAGATGAAGTGGATCAGCATCAGGTTGATCATTTTCTTGGATATGAATCCAAAGGCATTGTCAGATTGTCTATGAAGCAGGTACGCTAGTTTATGATGCATTTCTGAAAGTTTGCTAATTTAATGTCCTGATCGTGAATATGATTTAATCACAAGGATTTACTGCTAATACTTGCATTAGTTGTATATGTATATTTTTATCCGTTTGTCTTCAAGATTGAAAGTAAATATTGACTACCTTCTTTCAATAACCAGTCAAGTATCCATGCCATATCAATATGTGATCTTTCATATATGGGCTCCCAAACTGAAAACAGAACTCTTAGTTACTTGATAGTGATTTGTATTTCTTATTTTCCCACTGTAAGCATGTCAAGTTCATGTCAACCGAACTATGAACTATGAAAATGTACGTCATACTCTCCAACTTCGTATTTGTCATAATCACATGCTGTTCAAATGATGGTTAATCAGTTAAAATCATTGGAGACAACACTAGCCGGTGCCTTGAGAAGGGAGCAGATGGCTGAAACTTCTATCAAAAAGCTTGAAGCTGAAATTGAACAATTGAATCGTTTGGTATGGTCCATTTTTTTTATTTTATCTCTGAACTGATTTCCAAGCTCTGGAGGGTAAGAGAGAAAGAGTTATAGAATTTTTGAATCGCCAACTCATTTCATACTTCACAGGTTCGTCAAAGAGAGGAAGACACCAGGAGCAGTAAAATGATGCTCAGGTTTCGGGAGGACAAGATTCAAAGAATGGAGTCTCTACTTGGTGGGTCATTGCCTGCTGACCCTTTTCTATTGGAAGAAAACAGAGCGCTCTCTGAAGAGATTCAGCTGCTTCAAGCTAAAGTTGATAGGAATCCTGAAGTAACTCGCTTTGCATTGGAGAACATAAGGCTATTAGATCAACTCAGAAGGTAATTACTTTTTGAAATTAGCAAATATTTCCCAGATGCTTTCCCTATCCTTAACTTGTTTTTTCATTGGGAATAAATAGATTTCAAGAGTTCTATGAAGAAGGGGAGAGGGAGATACTGTTGGCTGAAGTTTCCAATCTGCGCAATCAGGTGTTTGTAAATTCTAATTTAAGAACATGGAAAATTTATTTTTTTTATTTTATTTGTTCCTCAAAGCTCGTATAAACCAAAAAAATTCCTCTGTTTGCAGCTGCTTCAGTTTCTGGATGATACCTCTAAGCAACACAATGATACAAATATGGAAATTCAACCACAGGTCAGTTAAAATAATTTCCTTCTTTAATGTTTTAAGTTCTGCCTTTCCAACAATGCACATTCTGTTTTTGGAAAATTGGAGACACAGAAAAGAAAAAGAAGGTGCATGTAGAAGTTTCAACTTCTTAGCTTTCGTGCAACTTCCTTTCTGACCTCATTATCAAATATAGTGATAGAATTTCAGATCTGATTCTAAGCATTTTGGATTTATTCTTCTGTATTGTTTTTGATTTTTATAAATATTTTCGTTGACTGCAGGAAGCTGTGTGTGTTAGCAAAGAAAACAATACTCTCCAACTAGAGGTTGCTTCTTATGGTCTTTCTAAGAAACATCTCTTTTATACTCGGAATTTATTATGCATTTGACATTTACTTTTCGTCATTTCAGCTGCAAAACGCTGTCAATGAGTTGGAGTCATGTAAGCATAAACTAACCGCCTGCTTAGAGGAAAATGCAAAACTTAGCAGGTAAGGAGATCCAATCCAATTTTCAAGGTCTTTTGGATGCACATCCATAGACACAACCTTTACTCTTGCAATTTCCATTCAACTTGTTTTCTTCCCTTTTCCTGCAGAGAAATGAATGATCTACGGGCTATGTTAAACAACCTCAAATCTGCCTCCTATAGCCAAGATAATAACACTGGCAACTCAAAGGTACTTTTATCTTTTAGAGTTTCTTATTTATCGAATTCAGTTAATAATTACTGTCAAAGAAGAAGAATAGACAAGATGTCCTCAAATTTTCATTTGTTTTTTTCCCTTATTCTAGCTTGAGCCCCATATATGTTCAAGTTTATCAATAAGCAATAATAAACATTTTTCTCAGGGTTCATTGGGAGCTCCGACTTTTGAGCTTCACATGCTTGAGTCAGTTCAGAACGAGGTGAAGGCACTGAAGGGGATGCATGATACTATGGTGATGAAACATGTTGAAGAAATCATGGATTTGCAGCTGGAATCTGATATACTAAAAATTATTCTCAAAGAGGAGAGGTCATCTCGTCTTGAAATAGAGGAAAGAGAGACATGCTTGAATAGAGACCTTGAGCTGGCAAAAGACCAACTTTTGTTAATGTGCAAACAATATGAAGATGCAGACAGGGAACTGAAAGATGCAAAGTCTGTGATTGAAGCTTTGGAGTCACAACAGATTCTATCAATCAACGAGATGGAGGACCTACGGAGAAGTAAGAGCCATTATGTGAAATGTCTTAGTGAACAAGAACTTGAAATTAATGCTTTGAAGGATCAACTTTTTAGCAAAGAGTTAAGAGATCAAGCACCCTCTTACCATTTGAAGAGTGAGGATTCTACCTTGCAGGCAAAGCTGAATAGGATGCATGATTCTCTTGATAAGGCTAAGAGACTAAATATGTGGTACCAAAGAGATCGTGATTGTCATGTGTCTAATGAAGAAGAAATGGATGAGATTCGTCGGCAGGTTGAAGGTGAAACTGCTGAGGTCATTGTCTGTATGCAGGAAGAGCTTGCCTCTCTTCAGCAGCAGGTCCAAGATTTTAACTTGAAAGAGATGGAGACTAAAAATAATATGATGTTATTGGAAACTGAATTGAAGGAGCTTAAAGAGAAACTAGATCTGACTACTGCAAATAATAAATGTTTACTTGGGAAGCTCGAGGAGAAAGATGGGGATCTGAGAGCATTATCTGAGGAATGGGAACTTTTGGCTAGCGAAGTTGAAGAAGTTTTGGCTCATGGGAATGAGACACTGATTGATGCCTCTGATCAGCTTGACCTTATTTCATGTTCCTTTCCACAGAAAAGGATCTGGATTTCTGAACAGCTTGGTCAGTTGGTTAGAATTATCTCTGAAAAAGACCTTTTGATTGAAGAACTCAGTAGATGCTTAGAAGATGCAAATAGTAAAAGAAGTGAAGTGGAGTGCATGTTGAAGTCCTTGCGAGGGGCAGCATTAGTTATTAATGAAGCACACCAGCAAGAATGCCATGAAAAAGGGGAAGAAATTCTCCTGTTGAAGTCAGAATTGACTGAGAAAACATATACCATAGTAAGGCTGGAGGACAGAATGAAGCTGGCAGAAAAACACATCAGTAAAATGTCAAATTGTGCTACAGTGGCCTTTGTATTAGTTAATAGATTGTCAGAGACCAGTGACAATCATCTAAATGCATTAAAGAACAAGGATATCAAGCTTAAGGAATCAGCAGAGATGAACCTGAAGAAGGATGCTCTTCTAAGTGATCAGGCCGCTGCAATTGAAGAGGCGGAGAAACAGATTCGGTCACTGAGAAAGGAAGTAACAGAGATGGAGGAAACCTATGCTGAGCTTGTTCAGAAGCTCTCTGACGAGGAGCGACGTGCTTGTGCTATGGAACAGAAGCTTGAAGATATTGAAAAAAATGACATTTCAATGACAAGGGAGAAATTAACAGAGCTAACAGCTGGTGTATCCTCACTGAAGTCATGCATGGGCTTGCATTTGGAAGATAATGGAAGCCTTGAAAGATATGATGCTCAAAGGGATTGTACATCTTTTGATGGCGCTGGTGAAGGACGGGTAAGCTAAGTTCTTGCTTTCCAGTAGAAGCTTAGTCGTTCTTGATAACTCACTTTATGTCATATACTCGTATTGTTGCAGTCAGTTGCTGAGACATGTAAAGATGGTGTAGATGTCCATACTGTTCGGGATATGAGAACCTATAATTCCGAGTGCTCTTCATATGTCCAGAAACAGATGGATTCCAGAAAATCTTGTAAGGATGTTCGTGAAAAAGATATTACCATTGTACTTCTGAAAAAGGAAATAGAATCTGCTTTACAAAGCTTAAAAGAGGTTAAAGCTGAGATGGCCAGACTAAACAAGGAGAAAGAAGAGATGCTGATGTCTAAGAAACAGAATGAGAAAAGCATGAAATGTCTCAGAAGTCAGGTACTTACCCTTCAAGCAGCTATGAGTAACTTTGAGAAGCAATCAGAACTCAAGATACAAACTGTCAACCACAAGCTCCAGGCATTTGAACAGATTGTGCAAGAAGCTGGATCTCATTGGAACCAAACAAAAGAGGTAACCTGTTACTGTTTTATACAGTAGGAAACCATACTAATGTCCAATTCATCTATTTATTATAAGCATACAATAACTCCATCAATTGTTTCTTCAATTCTTTTTGCAGATTCTTGAAGTCGAATTTGGTGATGCGAAGATAGTTGCAGCTCAGAAAGCTGCAGAAGCTTTTTGCATTTTTTCTAAATTTGAAGAGGCCCAAGATACCATTAGAGAAGCAGATATTATGATCAATGGGCTAATTTTAGCTAATGAGACAATGAAGCTGGATATACGAAGGCTGAAACAAACAGAAGTCACATTGAACAATGAGAGAGATACACTAATGAATGAGGTCCTTAGCTTGCAATCCATCAATAGTCAGAAGGATCAGCAATTTGAGAACCTTGAAAAGCAGTTTGGCTCAAACCTGATAGAAACGAGGAATCTGGTTGTGGAGTTGGAGCATATTATTGCAGATGTGCAGAATACTTTTACAGAGAAGTTTATGCCTTTAGCTTGTGATTTCCAATCCATAAAATCTTTACTCTCAGACTCGAAAAAGTTGGTGCGGTCATGGCTGGAAGATGTTTGGGCTGAGATTATTGTGAAGGACTGTGCCATGGCTGTGCTACACCTCTGTCACATGGGACTTTTATTGGAAAGTGTGACAGGGCTGAATGCTGAAAATGGTTTGCTTCAACATGGCCTCAGTGAATCAAACTCTGTTATAGCTGATTTGAGAGAGCACAATTTCAAATCAATAAGAGAACTTGAAATGTGTAGAGTTCTTAAGGGGAAACTATTGGCTGACATCAAGAGAAGTTTTGATCAGATCTCCAGGAAGGAAGAGGAAGCTGGGGAGCTTAGTGGCAAGTTAATCAGTTTTGACAAAAAGATATTAGACTTGCAGCTCCAAGAGGAGTTGATGTTTCAAAGGTCTAACTATATGGGATCTCAGCTTGCTATTCTAATGAAGGATTTGGACTTGAGTAACACAAACATTGTGTTGTCCCTCAGGGATCAAGAGAAACTGCTACAAGATAAAGAGGAGCTTCTGAAATCTGAGGCTGAGTTCCTCCTGATTGATTTGTGCTCGAAAGAGCTTGAGTCACTTGTTTTTGCATCACAGTTAGAAGAGATGGCTCTTCAAAAAACTGAAGCAGAGAGAATGAATATCAGTTGTGGTGCTGTCTTTGATAACTTAAAGGAAGTAATGATCTTCTCCAAGGTAGATGCAGAGTTGAAGAAAGTTGAGGCTACCCTTCTACAAGAGGAAGTTGAAGAAGCACAGAACAATAGGCATGAGATGCAGTCCAAGCTGGAGCAAAGTTTCCTGAGAATTACACAGATGGATGTAGCAAAGAAGGCTCTTGAACAAGATATTCAGTCGCTACAGGATTCAAACAGGTTGTTGCAAAATGAAGTTGGAGAAATTACAGAAACTAAGGTGAGCTTGCTAAATCAGGTTCAAGCGCTTGAAGCTGAATGCAACAAATTGCAGAAAGATCTCAAGATAAAAGGAACAGAACTAGAATCTTCTTTAAGGTCTGTCTCTTTACTTGATCAACAAAACCAAAAATTGAAGGAGGACATTTGCTTGCTGGAAACTTCATCGTGCAATCTCAAAAAGGAGTTGGACATGACAGATGTGGAGCTAAGCAGAATGAGAGGCTTGGAAGAGGAAAACAACTTACTGAAAAACGAGGTAAGGAAGTTGCAGACTGAAAACAATTTGGTTCTGCAGGATTTGGCAGAAAAGAAATCTGAATTTGAATCATCTCTTAGCCACATTGATACCCGTGACATGGAAAATCACAGGTTGCGAGATAAAGTTTTTTCCTTGGAGACGTGCATTGCTGGTTTACAGACTGATATGGAGATGAAAAATGCTGAACTTTGTGAACTCCACCATACTCAATCCATCACTCTGCAGGATCTCAGCTCAAAAGGCCAGGAAATTCAAATCTATATGAACAGAGTAAATATTTTGAGGGAAGAGAATGTTTTCCTCAGGAATGATGTTAAGATTCTAGAAAATGATAAGCGTAGAGCTCTGTCCATGTCAAGCCAGAACATTTCGAAGTGTGTTGATTCAGTAAAAGCAGTAGATATGATCTGTAGCAGGTTATTAAACAAAATATATGAAGAAGGTTTTATGATCGCAGATGAAATGTTTCAAGTTATATGTGAAAATGCAGAGAGCATATCTAAGTTCATTAAAGGTTTTGAATGCTTAGAGTGCCATGTGGAAGAGCTGATTTCTCAAAACAGAACTCTTCAGGCTGAGCTATCAAGGAAGGATGAAGTTTTAGTAGGACTGTCATTTGATCTGAGCCTACTGCAGGAGTCTGCCTCCAACACCAAGGATCAAAAAGATGAAATTGAGGAAATGGTGGCATCTTTGGAAGCGTTAGAAGATGATCTTGCATTGAAGTCAAGTGAGCTTGATGAGGCTGTTGCACATAGGCATATGCTTGAAGCACAATTGCAGGAGAAGATAAATGAGATTTCCACTCTTCAGATTGATATATCAGGATACCAGGAAACCCTAAAATTGCTTTCCAGTGAAAATGGGGAGCTGAAAGCTCACATTGAAGATACCTTGGCAGCAAAAAGTTCTACTGAGGAAGAACTAGGGGAGCAAAGAAAGATAACAAAGAGCTTGGAGATGGAACTCGAAGAAATGGGTAATGCTCTTGGAGAAATGAACGATATGATTGAATCCTTGAGAAGCAATGTAAATGAACTTACTGTTGAGAGGGATCACCTTCAGACAGAACTTGTTACTTTGAAAGAAAAGCTTGAAAAGGAACAGGCTCGTGCAGAAGAAATTGAAGCAACTGCTATCGAAGCTCAACAGGTCTATTCTAGTTTGACATATACACGGTTATTTTATTTGTTTTATGTTTCTTAATCTGAATTGTTATTATGGTGTCAGTTAGCTGAAGCAACAAAGATCTATGCTGAGGAAAAGGAAGCAGAGGTGAAGCTTTTAGAGAGGTCTGTTGAAGAGCTGGAATGTACTATAAATGTACTGGAAAACAAGGTGAAGATTTAGTCAGTATCAAGTCTCATGATCTTGTTTATTATTATCATTGTGCCTCATGGATCTGCATGTTTTAGGCTGACATTGTTAAAGGAGAAGCTGAACGACAACGGTTGCAAAGGGAAGAGCTGGAACTGGAACTTCATGCTGTAAACCATAAGATGCAGAATGTTGAAAGTTCAGATGCCGACGTTAAAAGGTTTGGATTTATTTTCACAATCTACTAACTACTTGCTTGGAGATCACTGAGATGTTCGTTAGAGAGGATAAAGACACTGAAATTTTCTTATAACTAGACATTTTCTTTTAATCTATAGGCATTTTGATGAGAAGGAGAAAAACCTTCAACAGGCCATGAAGCAAATACAATTTCTCGAGATGGATATAGCTGACAAGGATGCAGAGGTGAGATTTTTCATTGCATTACTCTAATATGTATTTCGCTCCAAGATAAGTTTATTGTTTCCCCATATTTGTAATGACATGTTTTTTATTGACCAATAGATTGCCCAATGCAAAGCACATATCTCCGAGTTAAATTTGCACGCAGAAGCACAGGCTATTGAGTACAAGCAGAAGGTAGGCCATCACATATGGATTGACTAGATTTAATTGTTCAGCTGTAAAAAGGCCAGCGGACATTTATTGCCTAGGATTGTTGTTCTTACTTCGTAAATTCTTTAATTAAAACAACTTATGGTAACAGTTCAAGGCATTGGAAGCAATGGCCGAACAAGTCAAACCTGATAACCACTCCACCCATGGAAGCAATTGTTCATCAAACAAAATAGAAAGAAATACCTCCAAACCTAGGGGTTCAGGTTCCCCTTTCAAATGCATTGGGTTGGGCTTGACCCAGCAAATAAAAATGGAGAACGATGAGGAGCTTACTTCTGCCAGGCTTCGGATTGAAGAGTTACAATCTTTGGCAGTAAATCGACAGAAAGAGGTAGCTTTCAATGCCTTAATGTGGATTCTGCAGTTCATCAGAACTCTCAGACATGTTCCATTATGTTGCTTATTCTTTCATGTTTTCGTTCCAGATATTCTCGTTGAATGCCAGATTAGCAGCTGCAGAGAGCATGACCCATGACGTAATTCGAGATTTACTAGGAGTCAAATTGGATATGACTAATTATGTGGTAACTTAATACGGTTCTATACTTCTAATTTTCAATGGCCGTTTAGAAAAAGAAACCTTTTGTCTTCAATATGATTGTGTGAAATTGGTTATGCCAATGAAATAGGTCTTGCTTAAATTATTCCCAAGTTTGCACGATTATGCTTTATCTTACTGTTTTTGTTAATGCAGTCGCTGTTAGATAACCAGCATGTTCAGAAGATAACAGAGAAGGCACGACTTAATAATTTAGAATCTAAAGTAAAGGTAGTTTCACTTTGCTGATACTCAAAACCTGGTTGTATAACTTTCATGCTTTTAATGTTGAATTTTGTTCTTTATACAGGACCAGGAAGTGATCAAGCTTAAGCATCAGCTCAATGAATTTATTGAGGAGAGGAAAGGGTGAGCTACTGTAACACTGTTGCTTCAAAAATATTGAAATTCTCAGCTACTCAATTATTTTGTTATTCACAGCATTTTTTCCAATACAATTCTTCTGTTTGTCTAAGCCTTTTCAAGTTCTATTTTCCAGTTGGCTAGAGGAAATTGAACGAAAGCAGACTGAGATGTTAGCAGCACAAGTTGCTTTGGAAAAACTTCGTCAACGAGATCAAACACTAAAAACAGAAAATGAAATGTTGAAGGTTCATTTTAATTTGTTTGTGGTCTTATAATTTTCTTTTTCATCAGGCTCCTTGATAAAGGAATATTGTGATGTTGTTTTTCCAATTTTATTTACTCTCATCAATCTGTGTAGATGGAGAATGTAAATTATAAGAAGATGGTGATGGAACTTGAAGGTGAAGTAAAGAAACTTTCAGGCCAGCAAAACATTCATCAGCGCATTCATCATCATGCCAAAATTAAGGCAAGAACAGTATATCATTGATTTTGGGTTTTTCTTAATTCAGTCAAAATTTAACTTTTTGGTGTGGTTTGAGTTATTTTACCAAAGTCTGTTAAATGAGTTTGCAAACCTCCATAGTTTTTCTGCTTGCTATTGGAAACTTTCAGAACATTTGTCAGTAAAAGCATTTATTCTGCAACAGGATGAAAACAATATGCTTAAGATGCAGAATGAAGACCTTAATGCTAAACTACGGCGAACTGAGATTAACCTTTTGCGTGTCAAGGAAGAGCTTTCTCAATATCGTGCTTCCGTTGGGAAAAATTCTTACATAAATTTTGATATGGAGGAACGGTTGAATAACAAACTGAAGGTTAGTGCAATGAGATAAGTAAAATTGGTTCAGCTCAAACGGTAGCTAGAGTTAATGGCCTAATCAGTCAAGTGAAATTGCTGCAGGAAAATGAGGAGGAAAGAATGCAATTAGCACAGAAGTTAATCGGCTTATGTACTAGCATTTTGAAGGTAATATGCGAACAATAATCAGTTAATTTATTCTTTTCCTTTCCGATTATACGAAACCAAATTCATCCATATTTTCGCCTCTGTAAACTTTCAGGCGGCTGGAATAACAAAATCCGCGGCTGATGTGAGCCCTGCTGTCGCTGAAGAGGCACTTGAACATCTCAAAAATAGAATCACTTCACAGGAAAGAGAACTGCAAAATTTGAAGTTACAGGTAATCAAAACATAAACTGTCTGGCCTTGTTTCCATAGTTTGAACTTTGAATCAATCTTTAAAAGTAAATTCAAGTGTCAATGCTATAAAATACAAACTTGCCGAGACTAACAGACTTGAAATTCTCTTACAGACGAGAATCAACAATGAAAGAAATCGATTATCCGAGATCATACCACCGCAGTCTTCACTGGTAAGCCTAAGGGCAGATGAGAATTGTCAAAGTCCTAAAAGGGTATCGCCATCTCGATTTCTTTCTGCTTTGGATCGATAAGCACATATGTACAGTAAATGTCACACTCATACAAGCTGAGCTGGTGTATGTTTCTTAATCTTCATTTTATACTTGATTTTTTGTTTTTGCTGGTTAAGGTGTACATAAATTCTTTGTAAGAAATGTAATATTCCAGTGTAAATTTTGTATAATGTAATCGATATCAATCTCCCCATCTTCTTTCCTGTATTTACTCTAAAGTTTGTTGATGATAGAGTGATTCTGGTGAATTTGATTCTTCTTTACTGAGAATTTGAGGTCTACAAATCTCATTGTTTCATGACCACTGCTTTTTAGGTTCCATTCTTGGTAGTCATTCTGGAGATTAAGGGAGAATATGTTTTATCTTATAAACTTAAATGAAAAACTGCTATTTGAATATCAAGTAATCGAAAGTCTAAAACCACCCCTGACTGGTTTGGTAGAACGATAGAGATTTTTGGATGTATTACTTAAAATATTTTGAGTTTGATTCTTCTCAGTCGCTAATGAGGGTAATCATTAGAGGGTTTATCGATTTTTAACTTTAGGGCTTTTACAGATTAGTTTGGATGTATACAAATTGACCTAGACATTATCCGTCACCAAAATATATATATTACGAAATTACGAAACTAAACCCTAAACCCAAAATTACGAAACTTAACATTCAATATAATTACATGATATCATATATTTAATATCAAAATCAACATTTCTAATTTTTTTTATTAATTATTAGCATAGTAATTGTTTAACATAAAAAGAAATTAAACCAAAACAATATAATAAAATAAAGTATCAAAGGCCCTTTTAAATGGTTTGTTTTTCATATGTATCTTTAAAATACATTCATAATTAATAATATAGAATAATATAATAAAATAAAATAAAATGTCAAAGGCCCTTTTAAAAGGTTTTCTCTTTTTTGAAAAAAAAAAATTCAAAAAGTTAATGATAAAATTATAATTATTTATTCATTTGTCCAAGTTTTTTCCTTTTTTTTTTTTTTTACTTTTAATTTTATTGGAAGCGAACAAAATCCTGTAAGTCGGATTCTAGGGTTTTACAGTTGATGCTCTGAGAAGAGAACAAGTTCTTGACCTTTTTCTGTAACTCAAAAGCAGCCTTTTTTGATTCTTTCCCAACAAATCCCACTTCCACATTTCAACCATTCAATTCACTTCATATAAATAATCATGTAAGTTTTTTATTTAATAATAAAAAAAGCGTTAACACTTTTTTCGATTAAAAGCAGCTTTTTTTTAAAAACAATTTTTGGTGTTGATTGTGCAGAGTTTGATAGCAAAATGAGCGTTGCAACTTTCAATTCCATTTGTTTCACAGGAGGGTCTTTGTGGAAGGTTTGTGTCTTGTAAAGGAAGTAAATTTAGTAATTTTAGTGCGAAATTTCATGATTTTTTATTTTGTTTCTTGCATTATAGGATGAAGCTAAGAATTCAAGGGCATTGAAGAGATATGAGAAACCACAGAGGCTTTATGTAAGAGGGTCTGCAACGTTATCAACAAAAAGCTTACAAACGGAAGATGGGAAGTCTCAGAAATCTGAAAAGCAAGTTCGTATTGGTCTTCTGGGTGCCAGTGGTTACACTGGTGCTGAGGTTAGTTCATGCATGTTCGTGGGTTCAGTAAATTGTTCGATTGTTTCTTTGGTTGCAAATCCAAATGCTGTGTTTCAGCTAAAACTACCGTTTTGGAAATACTGTTGTGTTCACAATGTGGTTGTGAAATTCTTTATATCGTATTTGGAGATGTTCCGAAGAACCTGAATGGATTTAATTTCATATTTGTTGCCTCCGTCCCTGTTAAGCTTAGGCAATGTTACATGCACATTTTATTTCTGAACTGTATGGTTGTTTGTGACTGTTCCTGATCTGTTAGTCATGTAGAGAAGGCCAGCTATTTTTGAGCAAATGAGCTTAATGTCCTGAGACAACTTGGCAGTTTTACTAATATCCCAGTCTTTCTATTTAACCTAAAGAAAAGGTCCATTTATCTAGTGTTCTATCTTATGCATGTATATGCTTTACCACATGTTTTAAAATTGGTTCTTGTAGCTCAGGTATCTGGGAAATTGTTGTCTGAATTGTCTAGGTAATAAGTTAATTGGTGTGTGTTCTGTTCGTTATAATATTGTATCATGGCTAGGTATTCTGCTGTTAATTACATTCGTAAATGATGTTATTTGTAGCTAACCATGTGGTTGTTGTCGATTCTCTTCAAGTTATAGGTAAATTCCATTTGAGTCATGTGAGAGTATTGTAACACTTCCGTCTTAATGATTAATAGTCCTACAAAAATGAAAGATTTCCCTGTTTGACATGTGAAGTGAAAAGACTAAAGTGGAAATCCTTTTTAATATTTGGCTGATTATAATAGTTTTAGAACTTATTGAAATGCTATAGAGCACATTGGATTATTTGAATCTCCAAAGTTGTTTACAAGTGATGATATATAATTGCAATAATACTATACTTACAAAAAATCTTACAAAGATTTTCATACAAAGTGAGGTGGCAAAAAATGAATGGAAAAGTGAAACAAAAAGTGAAACTCATTATATTTACTCTTCCATTCATTTTTTGCCACATCACTTTGTATGAAGATCTTTGTAAGTATAGCATTACTCATATAATTGTATGTATTGTATTTTTTCTCCTCTTTTAAGTCTCTGAAGTTTTTGGCTATCAAATATTCTTTTTAAATGTAGTGTATGGATGACATCACTAAGTTGGCTAAATTGCTTGAATTATGCTTTGGGATGGACACCATATTCAGCGAACATTGCTTTTCCTAAGAGTTATTCATCTTAGCACCTAAATATTAGCCATCTTCAGTTGTTTTCATCTAACTTATTGTTCTTCTGGCAGATTGTTCGACTCCTTGCAAACCATCCATATTTTGGTATTACTCTGATGACTGCTGATAGAAAAGCTGGTCAATCAATTGGATCAGTGTTTCCTCATTTGATATCACAAGTATGATTTTTTTAATTGTAGAATTTTGTTTTGAATGGTGGTTTAAGTTGCTGAACAAATGTCTGAGCAGCTTTCTTCATAGTTTGATGGCTGTTGAAATGGCCATAGAGCTTCTTGATATGGTTGTTGTTGGGAGATCTTCTTGATATTCCTCCATTGTTGATATATGGCTTCCTTTATGCTTGCAGGATCTACCAATTATGGTTTCCATCAAGGATGCAGATTTTTCTAATGTTGATGCTGTGTTTTGCTGTTTGCCTCATGGTACCACACAGGTCTTTCCTTGTTGCCTTTACATCTTTTAACCTATTTAAGTGATACTTTCAGAGCCTTTTCCATCTTAACGTGGATGGATATTTACTAAGTAATTTTATATTTGTTATTCTGTACAGGAAATCATTAAAGGCCTTCCCAAGAGTTTAAAGATTGTTGACCTTTCTGCGGTATGCTTTGAATGCAATCTTATGATTTGTTATCTCTCTGTGTGTTACCGGAAACCTGCAAACAATTTCAATTCCTCATGGCAAGTACTATCTGATATATTTTCAGGACTTTAGGCTGCGTGATATTTCTGAGTATGAAGAATGGTATGGTCAACCACATATTGCACCAGATTTGCAGGTAATTTTCTTTTCTTGCTTATATGTCAATATCAGCTATAGAAGCGTCACTATTTTTCTCTCCTTGCACCCTGCATTGTCCATTTACAAATGGTTTAAAGTTTTCCAGAAAGAGGCTGTGTATGGTTTGACAGAGATTTTGAGGGAGGATATAAAAAGTGCACGCCTAGTTGCTAACCCTGGTTGTTATCCGACATCAAGTCAACTTCCTCTTGTTCCTCTGATTAAGGTTTGTGTTTATAGCACTGTATTTAAATTTTTTATGGTTGTTTAATTGTTATTGACTACATAATAATTGACTGATAATTGAAAGCATTGTAAAAAGTGTCTGTTGGACAAGCAATGTTCTTTCAATTGCTAGATACATCTTAAAAGGCAATGGGTTTCTCTTTTTCTTTCTTTTAATTTCTTTTCTAGAAGGGTCAAACATGATTTTTAAAAAATAAATATATATTAGAAGAATAAGATCTACTTTACCAATAAGAAAATTTACAATAAACTTGCTTGAATATACTGTACTTCTGGATTTAGTCCTTATGCTATATAGTTTCAGCCAAACCACTCGACTTGCAGCATAATTACTATCCTGTTGGTGTTGATACTTTCTTTTTCTCATTACTTACTAACTTCTTTTGGATGACCTGTGACTTTCTGCTTTATTTCGGCGTTCAGGCAAATCTGATTCAATATAGAAATATAATTATTGACTCAAAATCGGGTGTGAGTGGAGCAGGTAGGAATTCATTTGCAGCCTTTCATTTATTTTCAAATTTATCTCCAAATGTTAAAAATTTATAATGTGTTACTTGTTGCATTTCTTGAGTACTGAGCAGCTGTCCCTGAGCAACTTCTGATGTCTGGTATAATGTGCAGGACGTGGTGCTAAGGAGGCAAATTTGTACTCAGAAATAGCCGAAGGCATTTATTCTTATGGTGTTACGAGACATCGCCATGGTAAGCTTTGATGAGGAAGATAAGGATCACAAACATTTGGATTCTGGGATTTCTATAACTCTATCTTAAGGACACAATGAAAGAAATGAATCTTAGCCTACATACTTAAATTTTCTCTATGTTATTGTGTCCTGATCTGTGACATGGATTCTGTTTTAAATGCAGTCCCTGAAATTGAACAAGGACTATCTGATGCCGCACATTCACAAATAACTGTCAGTTTCACCCCACACCTAATGCCAATGGTAATAGTTGCACTCAGTGTATCTGAGTAAATCTTAATGCCTTGTTTTTTCTGTTTTCTTCAAAAAGATATCTCTGTCAATTTTCTTACAGATTCGTGGTATGCAATCAACGATATATGTGGAAATGGCTCCAGGAGTGACAGTAGAGGACTTATACCAGCAATTAAAGATTTCCTATAAGGTACCTCTTACTTAACCAATTGTCTCATACATCAGGTCCGCTACACATTAAACTTTGAACATATTTTCTTAAATAAAAAATTGTGAAGAATCAAGTAAACTTCAATATGCTTGTATTATTGCCTAGAATACTTTGTTTTTATACCAACTGGATGGCCTGTTCATGTTAATCCTGGTCACCCTTATGACTTGATCTCTATGAATTTGGGGCTGGATTCAACACAACTTTGGTTTGCGGATGGACTTATTGATATGCCACCTTTCAGCTTCCACTTTTTCTTGTTTTCTTTTGTGATGTTTTGGATCCTTAATATTGTTATAACTTATTCTGCAGGATGAGGAATTTGTTAAGTTGTTGGAGAAGGGAGTTGTCCCTCGCACTCATAATGTTCGAGGTTCTAATTACTGTTTAATGAATGTCTTCCCGGATCGAATTCCTGGAAGAGCAATAATTATATCAGTTGTATGTGTCAATTGCGCCTTGTGCTTTATTTATGTCTTTAACATACCTGTTATGAGTTTGTATCATTGTTGACTAAGCTAGAAAAATGTTTCTGCAGATTGATAATCTTGTAAAGGGAGCTTCTGGTCAAGCACTACAAAATCTCAACATAATGCTAGGATTTCCAGAAAACACAGGACTTCTTTACCAGGCCTTGTTTCCTTGATGCCTTATCGCTATATATATAAAAAGAATAAGCATGGTAGGATGTTCAATGGTTGCCACAGGAAACCATGTTGTGAAATTTTGTTTTCAGAGCTCTCGGATGCACGTAATTGTCAGAGAAAAATGGTTTTAGAAATATGTATCATACAACTATAGATCCCATATGTGCAGTAAGCTGATAATGGAATTTATTCTTGTAATAAGGTTTGTGGGGTGTGATGTAATTTACCAAGGATATGAGGGGTTCCATAAATTCTGAAATGGTTGAATAAACAGAAGTTTTTATTCAAGAATATATATAATTGTTGGAATTGCATGGCACCCTGTGTCATAGAAATTCAATGTATTTGAGTTGTAAATGATGGTCTAAAATCCAAATTTTTAGTGCAATTGCTGTAAACGCTAAACAAACTGTTCATATTTTTACTGAATCGCCATTTTCTAATGGAATTTAGTCAATTTACAACTCTTTTTTAACAAAAATAGATACTGATATCAAAGGCATAAAAAAAATATGTGATTCTGTTTAATGGTGTTTGACATTATAATGAAGAGTAAACAAATTTTTCCCACCCAAGGTCTGGCTTGTCTTAATGACACTTTTCCATCCAAAAAGTTTTAAAATACCACTTTCCCCCCCAATGTCTATATTCTGTTAATATCTAAAATAAATTTCACTTTTTCAGCCGGCATTCGGTGAGTTACCAGGAGTTAAGGTAAGAGGAATTTTGTAGAGTGGAAGTCGATGGAGTGAATGGTGGTGACTGATTGAATATTTGTAATCAGAATCAGCCGAAAAGCAGTTAAGAATGAGAAACTTTAGCTTTGCGGTGGTTGGCAATCAGCTAGAAGTTAGGTGCTAGAGTGAGAGGGGTTCTGTAGAGAGGAAACCACAGGTTCAAATGGTGGTGACGAAGAGAATTTTTACTATCGGAATCGATTTTGAACAGAGATAGAATATTAATTTTGGGTGGAAAAGTGGTATTTTAAAACTTTTTAGATGGAGAAATATTGAGGCAAACGTTGGGTGGGCAAAAGTCGTTTACTCTATAATTAAATTAAAGAAAAAATTAATGTGTATTTTATAAAGAAAAAGGAGAAAATAAACAAGATCCAATTTTTACGAGAAGTAGCCACATAATCGTTTATCGTGTGGCGCCACTGCAGCGGATTGAGGAATCCCTTAAACCCTTCAACAGAAACGTTTCGTTCTCCTGAAACATCGAAGTAGTTCATTGTTGAAGACCTTCCTTATCCTCGTATGGCTTTTCTCAATTGCTTTTGCAAATTTGGTGCATAACATAACGAATAAACAAAATGAGAGCCAACCCATATCACTCTCACTTGTTATCTTCTACTCAGCTCCAAACCCCCTCTCTCATGGCTCTTCATGGGCTCAAGGTCAGCTTTTTCTCTTTTATTTTGTGAACACATGGGTTTGAGGTTTTCTGGGTTTTTTTTTTTTTTTTTTTTTTTATTCTTTGTTGATGGGAAAATTAGATTCTGGAACATATTTTGAAATCCAGAATAGTGGTTTTACTATCTTAATTGCAGAGATGTCTGATATTTAAACGTAGAATTGTCATTCGCTTTCCAAATTAAGTGAGATGAATTGCGTCAATGAGGTTTTATACATGATATCTTTTTCTAAGGTAGTTTTTTGTTGTTCAATCTGTGACTTCATTTACATAAAGTACTAATGATAATTGCTATTTTCCGGTTGTCCTGCATTGCTATTGTTTTATGTTGGTTAAGATGGAGGGATAAGGTAGAGTTTAGGAGATTTGGGTTTATTAGAATCTAAGAAAGAATAACATCGAATGCAAATTTGGTAACATTAGGGCTAGAATTAGAGCTGGGTGGATGAAATGGACTATTGCTGGATTGTCATATAATTGTTGGATATCGATAAACTGGGAATGAAGGTTTTATGGAAGGACTGCTTCAGTGAAAAGAATTTTTGGTAGTCTAGAAAACAAAAAACATTGTTGCTTTTCATTTTTTACTTCAACAAATACTTATTTCTGTTACATTTATCTGTTGACAAACTTCTTTTCTTATTGTAGCAGGTATCACCACATTTTAAAGCCCATAACTTAAGTTTGAGTGCAAAACTAAATGGAGTCGTGCAGAATGCTAAGCCCAATATATGCTGTGCGATAAATATGGCTTCCGGACAGTCACGTGATCCGGAGAGGTTTAATTTAGGCAGTATCATGATCAAGGCAAGAAAATTATGGGACAGTTCTCCCCAGCCAGTCAAGTCCTTTCCCTGGAACAGAGCACTGGAGAACTTTGTTCAACTCATTCTTGATCTTTTCTTGGCTGTTGTCAAATATTTGATTGTACCTTTGCTGGGTGTTTCCTGTCTCAGTGAGATGTCCTATTGTGCACATGAAAAGAAGTTGTTTTTTGTCCCTGTTCCGCTGCTCATTGGCATGGTTATTGCTGACATCTTAAGAGAAACCACATTGGAAATATCTCCGCTTCTCAAGGTTGAAATATTTTACAAGTTTATCATTTCAGAAATTTAAGACATTAGTTGAGTATATGAGGATGGGTAATCAACATCCTATACCATTTGTTTGAAGAGGCAATATTTTTGTTTTTGTGCTACAGTTCTTGGGCCTATGCTTCGAAGAATAAAGAAAGGGATATAAAATTATAAATACGTTAGTGTGTGTAGGCACTTGTGTGCCTCCATGTATATATTCCTGATTTTAACTAATTGTTTGGCTTGATTTTCAGGATGCAGAAGTTCCTTGGCATCTGATTGCCGTTGCGATATTCTTCACTTTGCTCAAATTGCCAGGTCCTTATTATCCATACTGGGGACGCATATTTATTCCTCACTTTGCCAATGGGGCACTGTTGAGGACTCTGTGGTTTGCATTTTTGTGGTATAGGAAGCCCAAAAAGGCATCAGAAACAAAACAACCCAACACAACACAATGATTCAGTAATCGGTGACCATTCTGAAGCAAATAATCTCTAATTTTATTGGGTAAAATTCTTTTACCTTGTATTTATTGCCCATCCCTTTAGAGAGTGGTATATGCCAATGCCCTTCCGCTAGATAATGTGCTTCTGGTATTGCTATTGGCTGAAATATTGTTTTTGAGGATTTTATGAATTCAATTTTTTTTTTTTTTTTTTTGGTGCATTAGTCATCTTTCTTCTGATGTTCATACAGGTGAGACTATGTTTTACCAATCAAGGAAGGTTATCGGAAACTCGGGCTACTTTCAAGACTTCGAGGCTTTGATTCAGAGAGCAAATGACTTGCACTTTAGATAGTGTTGATTAATGTTAAACTCGTTTGTGACTTCATTAGTTCATTTTATAGATTTTCATACATAAGGCTCTGGAAAGGCCTGGAATTTGTATGATTCAGATTACATTGGAATCAAATACTTTTCATTCACAAGGCTACTCTCTTTTATTCCATCTAATGGTATTTGTATATTACAATTTTGTTTGGCCAAACCTTTGATTAGAAAATTATCATGTTATATAACGTGCGTTGGTATATTAGCTGATCTAACTGTTATACTTAAACTTCTGTCTTTTAAAGAGGAAAATGGGGATTATTTTGAACCCATCTGTGTATCAGTACTACAACTCAATTGGACTTTGTTGAAGCAGCAAACAAGAAACCCAAAAAAATGTTAATGCACTCCCCTTAGTGATTGAACTATTTATCAGTTGAATACATATGAAGCAAATTTATATCCATATAAAAGTGTGAAAGGTTACTGCTGCAAATATGCAGTAATAAACTGCAAAAAGGCTTATTAACTCTTTACACTTGCATTCTACTTACTAATCTTTGGATCAATTGGATGGTCCTCAAACTTGAATCTAATCAAGCAATATTGTCAAAATCCAGCAGAGAGCAAGGCCCTGTCTTTCTTGCCATATCTACATATTATAATATATTAGTTAGGTTGTAACTCAAACAATCATGAATTCTAAAGTTCAACCAATTGAAAGCACAAACAACTCATTTAAAATGAACTAGTCTATGATGATGAGATGACTTTTCTTGGAAGGTTTCTTTTCAGAACTTGGTTCCATTGTAGTTCTCTTCGGTTGTCTGCTTGAACTCTCAATTCTGTCTCGGAACGGTGCCTTCACTTCTTTCCTTTCTCTTTCTCTTTTGTTTGAAGCTCTTTGGAATTGTAGTTCACATTCTTCCCTTTCTGTGTGGTTTTAAGACTTTGGGATTTGTCATTCACATTCTCTCCTTTGTGAGCCGTTTTAAGCTTCTTGGATTTGTGAGATGCAAGGCCTTATCTGTTACTACATTGAGAAAAACAAAACACAATATTTGATATATTCAATCAATTAGTAATTTGAGTTGATGAACTTTATGTTGAATTACACTGAGCATCATTTTGATAACATACCCAAGCTTTCATCATAGGAGTTGAGATGAAGTATACTGGCGGTTCAGAGTACAACAGGGTTCTTCCTTGGCCTTCCCCTAGGCCTTTTAGCAGTTTGAAATCCCTGCAGATTCTTGAGGCATTCTGATGCTAGAGTTCCAATTCTTTCCACTCCATTTGGGTCAAAAATCGTGACACTGAAAAACATTTCCATCATACTGGAAAAACAGAAAATCCTTGATCCTCAAAGGTTACTTCTGACAAATTCCGGCCAACCATCCTCCATAAACACATCGTTTCCAATGTCTTCACTTTAACCGTCCACACCCACCAGAGACAACTCCAAATTGCTGTATCAGATAAGTCTTTTGATATGTACTTCAAGAATTGCCGTGGAAACTTCTTCTGTTGCGAACAAAAGAAAACAAAGATGTTAGCCATGGATTTAGCTCAAAAAAACCACCATAATTAGACGACAAAATGAATCACCATTGGTTCTGGTTCCTCATCACAAATGAGCTTGTAGACACTGGCCTTTGGTCTGTCACAGTGCCAGTGTTTTCTTCCTTCGAGCTTTTCCTGAGAAAAGAGGGGCTTCCTGAATTTCCCGGCGTCCTCTTGAGGGAGGGCTT